GTCTGAAGCCTTTTGAATATCAGAAAAGGTAAGCCTTTTAAGCTTACACAAGTTTCCACTTAGATTATCTGGCTTTCTGAAAAACACCAGGAAAAAAGAGTTTGGTGATGCCCTGGCTGCAAGACCCCTGTGTACCCTTTATCCCCACGCTCCCTCCCCTACTACACCTTTGGAGACAGAAAACAATTATGGGTGATAAACGCTGTTACCGACAATACAACGGATGATAGCTGATGTGGGATTTGGAATCATTTTCCCTTGAGAGAACAGTTTGAGGACGGCATAGAATCAGCCAGCTGAGTCTCTTCAGGTGCTTAACTTTCACGTGAGGGCTCTGGAGTTCAATAATTCATGCTAATGCAGCCATCAGCACGCAAACTGCCTTCACACTCTTTTCAGATGTTGATTACAAAACAGAGCCCCAGATGAGTTTTGTGATGGAAAATCATCCTAGAGGACGTCAGCAGGATGCGGCCAATGTAGAGTGGTAGAGGCACCAGAGTTTTGAGGTCCAAGGAGCCTAGGTCACATCTGCATCTACCCTACACTGGCCTTTCGACCTTGTCCTGATGACATTTAACACCTCAGAACTTCTACTTCCTCGTCAATAAAATGGAATAATCCCACCTACTTCATAGGGGTTTCAGATCATATGAATGAGATGATACATGGAAAGTGCAGTAGTGCAATAATGTGAGAAAATTTTCTCTGGCCTGACAGAAGCACATAAGTGTTCATTTCCTTCCCTTTCAGTTTGTGACAGGCTCTCTCTGTCTCTTGTTCTCTCTGTCCCTCTGTGTCCAACATGGAAGCCAATGTTTCCTCTACGCATGAATGTAGAACTCGAAATACCTAGGAAGGGATTATCCAAAATGAAGAGAAAGATGGTGTGCATGTTAAAAATAGAATTCACAATTCATTTCCACAGTACTTCCCTATACTGAGGGGAGATGGAGAAAAAATGAAAATGGTTAGGCAATTAGTACTACCTCAGGGTTTCAGAGTTTAGGCATCTTCAAAGGAATTTTAGCATTTTATGCAATTTCAGTTTAAGGTACTGGATCTGTAGCCATTTTTAAAAAGTAAGCAAGTTGCACTGGAATATCTTCTAGAAAGACAAGGAAGAAAATATCTTAGCCATTTCTAAAACTTCTATCAAAACTCCATTGTTCCCAGTTGAGTCAGAACAAGATACAGCTCAGACAAAAACAAACCAATCCCATTGCTGTCGAGTCAATTCCAACTCATAGTGACCCTATACGTCAGAGTAGAACGTCCGCATAGGGTTTCCAAGGAGCAGCTGGTGAATTTGAACTGCCGACGTTTTGGTTAGCAGCTAAGCTCTTAACCACTATGCTGCCTGGACTCCATAGCACGGACCAGTAGCATCAAACTTGGATGATGGGGGAGCTTGAGAAAAATGCAGCTACTTGAATCCCACTCTAAGAGATTCTGATCAAATAGGTCAGGAATGAGGTCCAGGAATCTGCATTTTTTTAACATCTCCCAGACTTTTTAACAACTACAGATTTCACTTGAGAAAACACTGAAGTATTAGTTGTTAAAAGCTTGAACTTGGGGATAGACAGACCTGAGTTCAAATTCTAAATCTACCACTTTTTAGCTTCATGAATTTAGAAGGTTTTTTAACCTCTCTGGGCCCCAATTTTCTAATCTGAGAAATAGAAATAATAGACATTTCAAAGGTTATTGTGAGAATTAAAAAATAAAATATATTGCAGAGTGCTTAGGAAGGAGCATTCAATAAATACTGGCTATTGATGTTATCAAGGAGCCCTGGTGGTGAGTGGTTAAGTGCTCGGCTGCTAACCAAAAGGTTAGCCATTCTGTGGAAGAAAGATGTGGCAGTTGGCTTCCATAAAGATTTTGCAGCCTTGGAAACCCTATGGGGCAGTTCTACTCTGTCCTATAGGGTCGTTATGAGTCGGAATCCAGTTGATGGCAATGGGTTTGGTTTTGGTATTGATATCATTACTATGCAAAGTCAAACGTGCTTAGTTTCTTTTTCTTTTCGTTGTTTCTTTTCTTTTCACAAATCCAAAATAACAGTGCATTAGGCAAGATAGAAGTTTATTTAGCTTTCAGACAGAAGTCTGGAAGTAAAGCAGTACAGGACGAGTATGGCAGCTCTGCAGCCCAGGCTCCTTCCTTCCCTGTCCAGGTGTAACCCTGTTCCTCATCTGTCCAAGATGGCAGCTAGAGCTCCAGCAATCATGTCTGCATTTCACATAGCAGGATGGAGGAGAGATAAAGAAAATCATTCTCTCTCAGTAAGGATAACTTCCTAAAAGTTGTTTGCATCCCATTGGCCAGGACTTAGCTTCCAGGGAGATTGGGAAATGTGACCAATATTCCAGGTGGTCATGTACCCAGAAAAATGGGGTCTATATTGCAATGGAAATTTGAGAAGGAATATGGAAGGACAACTATTATTCCCTGATTTACCCAACCCTAGAAGTCTAGCAGATTTGGGCCATTCCTCGGTCATCCTTTGCTCTCATCCCTGCTTCTACCTGCTTAATTCTCAGGCAAGGAACATCTTCCCCAAAAAGGTAATTGCATGGTTTGCTGATCCTACGCAGCTTGGCTTATTTTCTTCCTAAAGAAAGAACCTTTCATTCCTCATTTTCCAGCTTCATTCATTTTCATTTTATTATCCAATTCTAATAGGTAATACAATTATCTCTTTGTAGAAAAGTTAGAAAACACCACTGAGCACTTAGTAAAACAAATTTTTTTAATATTCAAAATCTCACCACTCAGAAATAACCACTCTTAAAACGTTGGTGTATAGTCATCTAGCAGTTTCCCCAGGTAAAAATATACATATGCAGTTATAATGAAAGCACAGTCTACATAACTGTTTTTAACATCTTCTATTATACTTAACAGTATATTGTGAGTAACTCTCAGTGTTATTAATTATAGATCAGCATCATCAATTTTAATGATGGCAGAGTTTTCCAGTGTATGGGCGTATCATAATTTATTCAACCAGTTCCCCATTTATAGTCACAACACTGTGATAAACCTCTTAGTACACATCTTTGCTCACTTGTCTATGAGTTTCCCAAGGATGATCTGTGTTCCTGTGGTTTTCTAGTCCCCTGGGCTCCCCGTACTGTATTCAGGGAGTAGCAGAAAAACACCACTCCACCATCCCATTGGCAAAGTGATGATCAGATCTTGCCTCTACCCCTAAGCTGCTTGAAATCCCTTTTTTAATGAACATTGCAGGCTTGGAAGGTCCTCAGAGAGCTGAATTAATGCCTTCCTGCACCCCATTACAAATAGCAAGACTGCCACTGTGTGTGGGTGGAGGGGACTATTTCACACCATCGCTAAGAAAAACACAAAACAAAGTATTATCCCAGGTGAAACTGAAGGGCTTTCTATTAAGCTTAAGTTGTTTGAACTTACAGTTTGCCAAACTGACTCCAAGCAAGACCAGAGCGAGGCCATTTCTGAGTGGAGAAAACCAGTCTCAATTAGAAAAAAAGAATTTGATAAAATATTATTTAGACAGACAACTGATTTAACAAATGAAGATTCTTTAGCTGATTTTTTAAAAACTAATGATTGATTTTGACTAATTGTTTTTTTGTCTCATTTGAGCTTCCTAGTGATCAAATCACTCATGATATTTACACTTTCTAGAGAAGACTGAAGACAAATTATACTGCATCACTCTCATATAGCACTTTCTATTTTCAGATGATTTTCATCTCAGTTTTCTTCCCATCAACACTGAGGAGTAGGTAAAACTGTTATCATTGTTAGGTGTCATCAAGTCAATTCTGACTCATAGAGACCCTATAGGACAGAGTAGAACTGCCCCATAGGGTTTCCTAGGCTGTAATGTTTATGGAAGCAGATTGCCAGGTCTTTTCTCCCTTGGAGCCGATGGTGGGTTTGAATTGCCGTCCTTTTGGTTAACAGCCAAGTGCTTAACCATTGCGCCACCAATAGTTCTCCATTATAGATGATCCACCACCATTCTGTCAGTTTGTCATACTGTAGTGGCTTGTGTGTTGCTGTGGTGCTGGAAGCTATCCACCAGTATTTCAAATACTAGCAGAGTCACCCATGGTGGACAGGTTTCAGGAGAGCTTCCAGTCTAAGACAGACTAGAAAGAAAGGCATGACTATCTACTTTTGAAACTTAGCCAAGGAAAATCCTATGGGTCACAATAGAATATTGTCCACTATAGTGCTGGAAGATAGCTTTCTAGGTTGGAAGGCACTCAAAATACACAGTGGCCACAGGAATGGACTCAAGCATACGAACGATCATGAAGATGGCACAGAATCAAGCAGTGTTTCGTTCTGTTGTACATGGGGTTGCCAGCAGTCAGAGCCAACTCAACAGCAGCTAACAACAACATGGATGAGGACAATAAGAGCTGTCCTTTACTGAGCACATACTGTGTGCCAGGCAATATGTGAAATACATTGTGAATATTATTTATTCCTCACAACAACCCTAGTAGGTACTACTATTATTACCCCATTTTATAAATGAAGGAATTACAGCTTAAGAAAGATTAAATAACTCGGCCATAGTTGCACAGTGGAAGGAGGTGGAGCCAGAATTCAAAATCAGGATTCAGATCCAGAAAACATCACTGACTTACTCAAGTTCACATAGCTGTGGATCCAGGTCCAAAGACTGCTCCCGCCATAATGATTAAGAACAAGGCCTCTAGAATCAGGTAGCATGGGTTTAGATCCCACATCTGCCATTTTCCAGCTGTGTCACTTTACGCAAGTCACTGAACCCCTCTGCACTTCAGTTACCCTATCTGATAAGTGGGGATAATAAGAATGTCTATTTCAAAGGGCTATGTAGATTAAACAAGATCATCCACATACAGCATTTAGCACATCAGCAGTGCTCAGTACTTAGTTATTAATATTATACCTGCTGCCCCTCCAGCCTCTAAGTTAAGTACATATTTCATTGGTCTGTGCCACTACAGGTACCTCGAGCAAAGGCCTTGTGCAGCTACCGAGGGCAGAATCCTGGTGACCTGAGGTTTAATAAGGGAGATGTCATCCTCCTCCGGAGACAGCTTGATGAGAACTGGTACCAGGGAGAGATCAATGGAGTCAGTGGGGTCTTCCCAGCGAGCTCTGTGGAAGTCATCAAGCAACTGCCCCAGCCACCCCCGCTCTGTCGTGCCCTCTACAACTTCGACCTTCGAGACAAGGACAAGAGTGAGAACCAGGATTGTCTGACCTTCCTGAAGGTAAGATTCTGGGCAGTCACCAAAGTCACTGAGGGCCACATAAAGACTGTGGTGGAATGGGACATTGTTTGCTTAGTATTTGCTGATTTTTTAAATTTTTATATGTTTTATATTTTTTTTAATGAATATATGTATATGTATGTGTGTATACAAGGTCCCTGGGTGGAGCAAACTTTTTGCGCTCACCTACTAACCTAAGGGGTGGTGGTTCGAACCCACCCAGCGGCACCGCAGAAGAGAGGCCCGGCAATGTGCCTCTGTAAAAGATTACAACCAAGAAAACACTATGGAGCACTTCTACTCTGTAATATATGGGGTTACCATGAGTCGAAATCGACTCAATGGCAATAGGTTTGGTTTTTTTTGGTTTGGTATGTGTGTATGCATGGATATATATATGCACACATATATGTCTGTGTGTGTATAATTCAAATGACACAGAAGTGAAATTTCTAGATAAATCTACTCAGAATAAGAGATAAGAGTTTGGTGTAAATGCTCAAGCCTTCTCTATGCAATTACAAACATATCTATTCACACATTCATTCATTCACTATACAACATTTTTAAGCATTCTTTATTTTCAGGCACTGGGATACAGCATGAGTGAGACATAGTCCCTGCCATCGTGTTGATAGAGTACCAGGGAAAACAGACATGCAAACAGCAAATTATACACACAGCGTGATAATGTGCTGTATAAAACTGTACAGCTCTTTCCACCTTATCATGCCTGCATCTAGAAGGATCTTCTTGCTGACCAAGTTATGGTCACATAATTCCACTAATTTACAACATTCTATTTTGTTGTAAACATAGTATTCAAAATACTCTAAACACACACAGTGACATAATTATACCTTTGTACATACATAACTTCTTACAAGATGTATTTTTCAAGCACATTAATTGACCTAAGATTTTCTCTCTTTTAATGCAATGTGCTTTTATGCATATCCGGTAGATTTGTCCCTTTTTTATCAGATGATTCTTCACCATTTGCAACTAATGATAGCACTACCAAAATCGGGACTATTTTAACTCTCGGGATTTAGTATTAATTATTCTTTTAACATTCAAATTTGTTCATAGAAAGTTATTTTCATTCTTGGGTACTGATGATGAGTAGATTGAATATAAGTCTGAGAAGTGGCACTGCTACAAAGACTCAGGAAGGATCTTCTGTTTTGTAAAATATTTTTATTCCACCACTACCAGAAATGAGATTTACTTCAGATTCCTTCAAACCAGGTAACATCACTGTCCTCCATATTTTGAGATAGCGATCTTCATTATTGTCTTGGCATCTCAGAGCGAGACTCCTAAAGAAGGTCATTCTGTAGCTTGAACTGCCAAGTTTATACCTAGACTACTGTAGAGGAAAATCAGTTTAATTCCACAAGCATTTATTGAGTATTTACTCTGTGCCAGGCCTTAGACACTGAGCTCTGGGGACGCAGCTGGAGGAAGACATAGGTAGGAAGCATTATCTGCCTCTCCATTCCTCTCTGGAAATTTAGCACACTGGGACACTCACTCCACATGCTCATTCATTCATAGAACCCATCTTTGTGCCAAGCTGGCCACAGGGGTACAGTGATGAGTCATTGTCCCTACTTTCGTGGAGCAAGGAGTCACTGGGAGAAGCAGACTTGTAAATGGGAAATTATGACCCAGGAGCCAGAATAGCAGATCTGGAGGGCCGTGGAAAGCTGAGACTTCACTTGAAAAATCTCACAGTCTTCCTAAACTCAGCATGTCCAAATTATATTCAAGATCTTTCCTCCCAAAACTGGTCCTTTCCTAGTGTTTCCTATTTCAATAAATTATACAATTCATTCATGCGTGCATGCACTCAAGAAATATTTATTGGATGACTGCTAAGAGACAGCCACTGTTTTCGATGCCGGGGATACAGAGCTGAACAAAACAGACCCAGAACCTGCACACATGGAGTGGACAGGCATTAGAAAAGTAATAACATATATTTTTAATTAATTTTATTTATTTTGTTATTGTTAAGAATTTACACAGCAAAACATATACCAATTCAACAGTTAGAAGTAATAGTATATAAATGTGTGATTAGAAATTGTCGTAAGAACAGAGAAAGCTATGGAAAAGTCTAATGTGTAATGAATTTACGTTTGGATCAGTCTAAATTACTGAGGGGCACAGCTCAGAAGGGCAAGGAGACCTCTCTGAGGAAGTGACATTTATACCAAGCCTCAGTGGATGAGTATCCAAGTTTAGACTGGTGAACACGTATGAGTGTGGAACAGTGTGTCCTGCATTTCATTTATATGAAGTACAAGAATTGGCAAAATGAATTTATAGTGCTAGACGTCAGAATGGTTGACTCATGCTAGGTCGTGGGAAAGGCCACAAACCACGGGGGAAATGTTCTATATTTTGATCTGGGTAGTGGTTTTATGGATGTATCCAAATATAAAAGCTTATTGACCTGTATATCTAAGATTTATATACTTTATGTATCCATGCATGTATGTTTTGAAGAAGATTTTTAAAAATCAGTATGTGTGTATGTGTGTATATATATACATATATATATATATATGTGTTGGTTAAGTGCTTGGCTGCTAACCAGAAGGTTGCGGTTCAAACCCACCCAGTGGCTCCACGGGAGAAAGACCTGGCAATCTGCTCCCATAAAGATTACAGCCTAGAAAACTCTATGGGGCAGTTCTATTCTGTCACATGGGGTTACTGTGACTCAACGAATTGACTCAACGGCACCCAACAACAACAACACCTATGTTTTATCTTCATAGAAAATAATCGGAAAAAAAATATGTACCAAGATGTTAACAGTGATTTTCTTTCTGTTGTGATAGAATTTTTCTTTGTTTTGTTAATTGTGTTGTCAACCATTTTTTTCTCTTTTTTGTGGTGTCTTTACCTGGTTTTGGTATCAGGGTTATACTGGCTTCATAGAATGAATTCAGAAGTGTCGCTTCCTTTTTTATGTTCTGAAATAGTTTGAGTACTACTGGTGTAAGCTCTTCTCCGAATGTTTGGTAGAATTCTCCAGTGAAGCCATCTGGGCCCGGGCTGTTTTTGGGTGGAGGTTTTTTTTATTACCTTTTCAGTCTCTTCTCTTGTTATGGGTCCATTCAGATTTTCAACATCACTTTGTGTTAGTTTGGGTAGGTAGTGTATTTCTAGAAATTTGTCCATTTCCTCTAGGTTTTCAAATTTATTGGAGTATAGTTTTTCATAACACTCTGTTACGATCCTTTTTATTTCAGTTGGGTCTGTTGTAATGTCCCCCTTTTCATTTCTTATTTGGGATATTTGCATCCTCTACTGTTTTTCTTTTGTCAGTCTGGCCAGTGGTTTGTTGATTTTGTTGATCCTTTCAAAGAAACAGTTTTTAGTTTTGTTGGTTCTTTCTACTGTTTTTCTTCTATCTCATTTATTTCTGCTCTGATCTTTATTATTTCCTTTCTTCTGGTGGCTGTGGGCTTTTTTTGCTGTTCTATTTGAGTTGTGTAGCTAATGTTTTCATTTTTTCCCTTCTTTTTTGATGTGTGTATCTATTGCTATAAATTGTCCTTAGAGGACTGCCTTTGCTGTGTCCCAAAGGTTTTGGTATGATGTGTTTTCATTCTCATTTGATTCTAGGAATTTTTTGATTCCATCTCTGATTTCTTCTATTACCCAGTGGTTTTTAAGCAGGGTGTATTTCAGTTTCCATGTAGTTGATTTTTTTTTCCTTGCTCTTCCTGTTGTTAATTTCTACCTTGATAGTGTTTGTGGTCAGAGAAGATACTTTGTATTATCTCAATGTTTTGGATTTTGTTGAGGGTTGCTCTGTGGCCTAAAATGTGGTCCATTCAGGAGATCGTTCCCTGTGCATTGGAAAGGAATGTACTTCACAGCTGTTGGGTGGAGTGTTCTATATATGTCTGTGAGGTCAAGTTGGCTGATTGTGCCCTTTAGCTCTGCTGTATGTTTGTTGAGTTTCTCTATAGATGTTCTGTCCTCTACCGAGAGTGGCATGTTGAAGTCTCCTACTATTGTTATGAAACTGTCAGTTTCTCTTTTCAGTGCTGTTAGAGTTTATGTATTTTGGAGCCCTGAAATTGGTTGTGTAGATGTTTATTATGGTTATGTCTTCATGACGGATTGTCCCTTTAATCATGATATAGTGCCCTTCTTTGTCTTTTATGGTGGATTTTGTTTTAAAGTCTATTTTATCTGAGATTAGTATTGACACTCCTGCTCTTTTTTGGTAGCTGTTTGCTTGATATATGTTTTTTTTCCATCATTTAAGTTTTAATAAATTTATGTCTTTGTTTCTCAGGTGTGTCTCTTGTAGACAGCATATTGATGCATCCTGTTTTAATCCATTCTGTCAGTCTCTGTCTCTTTATGGGTGCATTTAGGCCATTTACGTTTAGTGTAATTATTGTTAGGAGTGAGTTTATTGCTATCATTTCCTGGTGCTTTTTTTTTGTGGTGCTGATGTTTTCTTTGTTCCTCTTACTCTCCTGTGCTGAATTTCTTTTGTTTGTGGATTTTTTTTTTTTTCATTTCTTTTGTTTTTGTGGATTCTGTGTTTACTGAGACTTTATGTTTTTTGTCTTTATTTTGATGAGTAGGTTTATTAACTTTCTTTGTGGTTACCTTGAAATTTACCCTTATCCTCCTAGGTTTGAACCAGTCTATTATTACTTGGTATCACCTTGCCTTCCTCTCCATTAGAAAGTTCTATACCTAGACCATTTATTCCATCTTTTATTGTTCTGACGTTGTCATTTTCAGATTAACCTCTCTGGTTCTCTGTTGTAATTCTTTTGGTTTTGGATAGTCCTTGAGAATTCATTTCCTAGGTTGGTATCTGGCTGGTACAATCTTGTGTCCTAGATTCAGGCTGTGGTCTGATGTTGTTTGTTCTCAGACCAAAGGACTCCCTTTAATATTTCTTGTAAGTTTGGTTTGGTTTTTACATATTCCCTTAATTTCACCATCATATTTGAATGAGAGTTTTGCAGGATATATTATTCTTGGTTGGCAATTTTTTCTTTCAAGGTTTTATATATGTCATCCCATTGCCTTCTTGCCTGAAAGGTTTCTGCCAAATAATCAGAGCTTACTCTTATTGTTTCTCTTCTGTATGTGACTTTTTGTTTTCTGAGCAGCTCTCAGGATTCTTTGTTTGTCTTTGGTTTTAGCGAATGTGATTATGATATTCCTTGGTGATTTTCTTTTGGGGTCTATCCTATATGGTATTCATTGAGCTTCTTGGATAGTCAACTTTTCATCTTTCATGATATTATGGAAGTTTTCTGTCAGCAATTCTTCAATGATCCTCTCTGTGTTTTCTGTTTTCTCCCCCTGTTCTGGGACTCCAACTGCTTGAAGATTTTTGCTTTTGATTGTATCCCACATCATTCTCAGAGTTTCTTCATTTTTCTTCATTCTTTTTTCTTGTATCCAAGTTTTTGTCTTCAATTTCGCTGATCCTGTCTTCCATCATTTCAGACCTGCTCCCCAGCCCTTCTATGACACTGTCCATTTCTGAAATCTTGTTTATCTTTTGGATTTCTAATTGTTGTTTTTGTATGATTTCTAGTTTTGAGTTTATTTTGGCAGTTTGTTCCTGTGTTATTTTCCTGAATGCTTCCATTTTTTGTCTGTGTTTTCCATGAATTTGTCTATTTTTTTCCTCATTTTTTTTCTGCTTTTTGCTTAAACTCTTGCATAGCTCTGAAAATGAGAGATTTGAATTCCCTATCAGACAGTTCTAGTGCTTTTCTTCTTCTGGAAAGTCATCTGCTGTTTTATTTTGGATGCTTACTGGAACCATCCTGTCCTGTTTTTTTAATATGTTTTGACATTGTCTGCTATCTTTGGGACATTCAGTGGTTATTTTCTTCGTTTATTGATGGTAGATTTGTTTGTTTCTTCCTGCTTTTTTGTTATGTCTGAGCAGGCGGGCTGTGCATTGTTTTTTGTTTGCTCATCTGTGGGCACGATACTTTTCACCTCTTTGTTCAGTGGGCAGGGCCAGTCACTCAGCTGTAGGGCAGGAGGGCAGGTCCAGCTGAAGGAGAGTTGATAGGATGAGTTGTTTGTGGCGTGTATTAGAGCCAACAGGGCTGGGCAGGAATCAGTGCAGGGCAGGTTCCAGTAGGCCGTGCCTGTGCTGCTCAGGGGTATGATGTTCAGCACATGGTGTAGGTAGGCAGGAAGGAGGGGGGAGATTGTGATGTGTGGCGCTAAGATGGATATGAGAAAGAAGAGAGAAAGGAGAGAGAAACAGGAGCCAAAAACAAACAAAAAGAGTGCTAAGGGAGCTTGCTGTTGAAGCAGAGAGATAAGAAACCAACTGAGAAATGGAGAAAAACAAAAAGAAAAAAATAAAAATTAGAAAAAAATGAAAGCAAAGCCCCCAGCAATCCCACTGGTGTGGCTGCAAAGACCAGGGAAGTGGCTTCCAGGCCACAAAGTACAGCCTGGCTAGAAGGGGTAGGGATGTCACACAGCACCAGGTTTTCAGGAGACAGGGAAAGAAGGTAGGTATAGAGAGATGAGAAACTGAGAAATGAAGAAAGACAAAAAGGAATGTCCCCCAGGGATCCCACCAATGAGGCTGCACAGACTGGGGAAGTGGCTCCAAAGCCGCACAGTACAGCCCAGCTAGAAGGGGCTCCTAAGCCATGAAAATAAAAAGAAAACAAACAGACAAAACAAAAAGCCCCAAGGATACCACCAGCGTGATGGCATGGGCCAGGGAATCAGTTCCACAGTCGAGCGGCACTTCACAGCCTTTCAAGAATAAGCAAAGATGGCACACAGAGCCAGGTGTTCAAGAGAAAGGAGGGGGAGGTGGTGAGAGGCACAGAATAAGCCAAAAGAAGCAGAAAAAAGCAACACCAGCAACAAACAAATGGTACTCAGGGAGCCGGCCACTGTTGGCAGGGTGAATCCAAGCAGCACGGGGCAGAAGCCTGTGCCTCTTGGCCAAGAGACTGTGGCTGGCGGGAAGCAGAGGAGGCCAAGCAGGGGGAAGAAGGATGGGGGATGGGAAAGCGTATATCACTGGTTACCGGGTGCTCTATCTCCTGCTGGGAGCTCTGTGAAGCTGCTTTCCCGTACTCCAGGTATGCCAATCTCTGACAGGAGTCCAGAATGGTGAATCCATGCTGCATTAGCTGATAGGGGACCTCCACACATGTCTTGTATTGTCAAATATTTCTACAGTCTGCATATAACCTTTTGTAATAAGAAAAATTTGAATAAAAAGCCATTTTATTATTTGACACACAAAAAAATGAGTAAGTTCTAAAAGTCTTTAAAATTAGAATGAATTTCTTCCTTTTGCTAAGCTGAAAGTTTGTCTTCTTATGACTTCCATCTTGATTTTTCCATCAGATTAATTTAAATGAAAATCCCTGATTCTGCTGGTGATTGAAAATTAGAAACATTACCATGTTTTTTGGGGGGGGTTCCATTAGCCCTCCAAATTATTTCTACACCTTGTAGTCTTGGGGACCCAAATGGTATCTTTTCCAGAGAAAGATCATTTTAGCAGAAAGATTAACTAAATCATGAAAGAGCTACTCCATTCCTTGCACCTTACACCATCTGGGACTCCACACTAACCTCCATTGAAAGCTTTCCCCACTTGAAAACTGAGAGTAAATACGACCATGAAACTTTCTCTCTTTCAGGATGATATCATCACTGTGATCAGCAGAGTGGATGAGAACTGGGCAGAAGGCAAGTTAGGAGATAAAGTAGGCATCTTCCCTATCTTGTTTGTGGAGGTACGTAAATATCAAGTCTACATCTTGATTAAAGGTTATTCAGAAATATACGTCTACCACATTAATTCCTGGGAACAATTCCTGTTTGATATGAGGCTTTTTCAGACCTAAATAATGTCTCTAAAGATGCCAAAAAGAGTTTTTTAAATACCCACTGGTTGCAAGAGTATGGGGAAAAGGGCCTTTTTCATTCTGTTAATGGGAGTGTAAATTGGTGCACTCTCTCATATCCAAATAAGTTAATAATTATATTAAGAACCTTAAAAATGTACATCTCCAGTTAGTCAGCAATTCCACATCTAAGAGTTTGTTTATTGTGAGGAAATGGTTGAATAAGTATCCAAAGCTTTATGTACAAAAGTGTTCACCACATCATTATGTACACTAGTGAAAAATCGGAAATAATCTAAATATCCAACAATAGGGATTTAGTTTAAAAATTATAATGATGGAAGAATATATACCCATTGAAAATAATGTTGGAGAAGAATATTTAATATCATTGCATAGTTGAGATTATGGAAAGACATTTATGATTTATTATTAAGTGAAAAAAAGTTGAACTAGATGAATCTAGTGTTATAAACGTATATGTATATATAAACGAATAAAGGACTAGAAGGCTATGCATAAAATATTTAACAGTGGTGATCGCTAGATAGTAAGATTCTAGATGATTTTCATTTTTCTTCTGCCTATTTGTGAATATTTTCTAAATATTCTGAAAGGAGCATTTCAAAAAAAATTTGTAGGTTTTTTTTAAGATATCTTAAAGGAAGAAAATATGCTAAGCTATCTACTTATTTCTCCAGTATAATAATACAACCTGCAGTCCCTAATCTCACTAGCCATGAGCCTCACCCTAGCTTGGAGCAGGTCATTGCATGCTTCCTGCCCTCTAGGAGGGTGGGGTGAAAACAGAAGTGATCAAGGATCATGCTCAGCTTTCTGATTTGAGGGCCTAGGTCAGTGGTGGAGCCACTTTCAGGGTCAAGGAATATTTGTTGAGGAACAATTATTTTGACTGGAGGATGGTGGTTGACTCCCCAAGGGCAGAGATCAGCTGCAACTAGTACCTACTTGGACACATACCAAAAAAAAACAAACCCATTGCCGTTGACTCGATTCCAGTTCATAGCAACCGTATAGGAGAGGGTAGAACTGCCCCATAGGGTTTCCAAGGCTGAAATCTTTATGGAAGCCTACTGCCACATCTTCCACAGAGCAGTTGGTGGGTTCAAACCACCAGCTGCTAGGTTAGCAGCCAGGTGCTTAACCACTGAACTACCAGGTCTCAGTTGGACACACAACGGGTGCTTAACAAATTCTTGCAGATTTGAACTTGCAGGATTCCCTGCATTCTTTCAAGAAGCTTCTTCATAACTTTGAGAAAAAGGCACCACTGGTTTCATTACCTATTTTTAAAACCCTATTTTCCAAAACTTCTACATTTAATGATTATTCATGTGGATACTCTTCCCACTACTTCACCTCTGAAATTAGTAATTACAGGACCCTCAAGATTATCATCGAACTAGCCATTGCTTCATTTGTTCTCCTAATTGCTAGGAAGGGAAAAAGATAATCAAGTGGTTGCTCTAATCTGGGAACCTGGTTTTCAAAAATTACTTGAAATCTAAATTGAGCTTTTTAAAGCAGTACTTAAATTTTGACTCCAGTCATTTCATTAAGACTAGCACTTGCTGAGAACTTTTTAAATAAGCTTTGAATTACCCATGTCATGCAAAGCAATTAGAAGGAAGGAAAGCTTTCTTAAGAGGGTAATGTGTTTTTTGGCATAAACAGGGTTTTTCTTGTTAATGTATCACTTGATTTATTGAATTGCACCTCGATAAAAAGGCAGTAAAGCATATGCTAAGTTTACGCCCATTCTTGTCCAGACTTCTCCAATGGGCCCAGCCCCGGTTATATGACTCTTGCTCAGCCCAGTGAACCTCAAGGATATTGTTTCAAATGTGGGGGTGCAAATCTAAGAGAACTGCAGTCCTTCCCAACCAAGCTATTAATCACATTGGCAGAAGACATAGAAGACGCAGAGTCACATGGGGCCCTTTGTCGATGCTGATGGAAAAGGTGATGGTGGCACTCACCTGGCATCAGAGCAATTAGGTTGAGGCAGAAAAAAATTAACTCATTTCATTATAGCTCTGTTGGTGTTGTTGTTAGGTGCTGTCAAGTCGGTTCCGACTCCTAGCGACCCCATGTGACAGAGTAGAACTGCCCCATAGTTTTTTCTGGGCTTTATGGAAAACAGATCGCCAGGTCTTTCTCCTGAGGAGCCGCTGGGTATGTTCCAACCACGACCTTTCGGTTAGCAGCCGAGCACTTAACTCGGCTTAACCTGCACCACCAGGGCTCCTTATTATAGCTCTGAATGACCACAAAGAGCTTTACTCATTCAACTCAAAGTGTGTATATTGCCTGCTTAATAAGTGAACAAAGGAGTGGTAAGTGTTCTGGGGGAACAGAAGACATTGTCTCTAGTCCAGGCTGCCTTCAGAGCTTGCCTAGACAATTTCAGTAACCTCCTAATTGACTCTCGATATCTATTCTTGTACTCTTGAGTAACAGCCAGAATGAGCTTTCTGTTTCTTCATTTGTTTAATTTATATATAGTAAAATTTACTCTTGTGGGTGTACAGTTCGATTAGATTTAATAATACATACAGTTGTATAATGACCGCCACAATCAAGATATAGATTAGCCCCAACACCCCCAAAAAATTCCCTCATGCTGCCTCTTTGTACTCAGCTCCTTCCCCAACTCTCCCTCCTGGAAGCTACTGATCCATTTTCTGCTCCTGTAGTTTTACCTTTTCCAAAATGTCATATCAATGGAATCATACAGTATGTAGCCTTTTGAGTCTGGCTTCCTTCACTTAGCATAAAGCATTTGAGATTCATCCATATTGTTGTGTATATCAAAAGTTCATTCCTTTTTATGGCTGAAGAGTGTTCCATTTTATAGATATACTAGAGCTTGTATATCCATTCACCAGCTGAAAGACATTTGGGTTGTTTGCAGTTGTGGCAATTATGAATAAATCTGCTATAAACATTTGCATACAAGTTTTTGAGTGAGAGTTAAGTTTAAATTTATTTTGGATAAATACCTAGCAGTGGGATTGCTGGGTTAGATGCTAAGTATTTTACTTTGTAAGAAACTGACAAACTGTAGAAAATTTTTAAAAGCACAACTCGGATCATATCACCCCTCTACCTAAACCCTGCCAAAGTCTCCCTGTTACACTTAGAACAAAGTGAAGTCTCCCAGGCCCTTCATGATCTGGCCCCTGCCCAGCTCTCTGGTGTCTGGTGTCCTCTCTTACCTCCTGCTCCTCACGCTGTCCGTTCGAGCCTTTTCTCTGTTTTTTCTGTCTTTTTCTCAAACAGGCTGAGTGAGCTTATAATATCTCTGTGGAGTCCCTGGGTGGTGCAAACAGCTAATGCACTCAGCTGCTAACCTAAAGGTTGGAGGTTTGTGTCCACCCAAAGGTGTCTCAGAAGAAAGGCCTGGACATCTACTTCTGAACAATCAGCATTGAAAACCCTATGTAGCACAGTTCTACTCTGACACAGACAGGGTTGCCGTAAGTCAGAATCAACTCAATGGCAATTGGTTATAATACCTCTGCCTGGCATGTTCTTACCCCCATCTTCATGTGGCTAGCCCTTTCTTGTGATCTCTGTCTCAGCTTAAATGTCACCTTCTCAGTGGGTCTTCTTTGACCCCCAATCTAAAGTAGCAGCCTCCCCTAGACACTATTACATCAGAGCACTTATTGCTATCTGATATTTTGCTGCTTGTTGGTTTACATGCTGACTCTGCCATTTATAAGTCACCCCCTCCGGACGTCAGCTTTCTTATCTTCGAAGTGGAGGTAATGCCCCTCCCCTACTTGATGATTTTCCACAATATTAGGGCAGAAACCACATTTTCTTTAAAATTTTCTATCTCGGCTATTTTAATCCTCTGCACATTGCCATTAAAACATTCTTCAATGGACAAATTCCCTTTTACCTCTACAGTTGAATCTCTAAATCAGAATAAGACATGTGGTTGTTGCGGGCAGTTGGTAAGGATTATTACCCATTGCTGTCAAGGTGAAATTGACTCATGGCGACCCCATGTGTTACAGAGTAGAACTGCTCCACAGGGTTTTCTTGGCTGTAATCTTTACAGAAGTGGATTGTGAGGCCTTTCTTCCACTGTGCCACTGGGTAGGTTGGAACTGCCAACCTTTAGGTTAGTAGTCAAGTGCAAACCGTTCACACCCCCCAGGGAAGTGACAGTTATAGTAACAGAAATTTAAGTAGTTATCCTGGAATGTTTTATTCACACAAACCTCTGTTCTTTTAACATATTTCAGATTTCTGAAGGAAGTGAATTCACAGGAGCCCTTGGTAGGTAGGGTACTCAAATGATATTTTTTGTGAAAATTTACCGATATATTAGGCAAGGCAGACACCTCTACATTAACATAATAGAGTGCTGAAGATGGCTGGCTGGAGCTGAATTGTACGAGCTGGTTGCTACATTTTCAGGAATTTTGCTAGTTGGTTGTTAAGCCATTGGTAACCTGAAATCAGCCATGGTGGGGTTATCTACATCACAAAAAAAAAACAAAAAAAAAACCAGTTGCTTAGTTGATTCTGGCTCATGGCGACTGCGTGTCGCCATGTCTCAGAGTAGAACTGTACTCCATGGGGTTTTCCAATGACTGATTGTTCAAATAGATTGCCAGACCTTTCTATCAAGGCACCTCTGAGTGGATTTCAACCACCAACCTTTAAGTTAGCAGCCAAGCACATTAACCTTTTGTACCACCCAGGGGCTATTTAAACCACAGAAATTGGTAAACAATTGGGGTTTTTTTTTTTTTTTTTTGAGAGCCAGTTTCCTAGCACAGCACTGACTAGGAGATAAGAACAAGAACAAGGGAGAACTGTAATGAGCCAGAAGTATCTAAAGGAAGTAGAAAAAGATGGTCTTAGCATAAAGATCCAGGGCCCAGAATGGATTCACATTCTGGCTAAAACACTTCAAAGGTATAAACTTGAGCAAGTTCTTTCACTCATTATTCTGCAAACACTCATTAAGCACCCACTCAGGGATACAGCAGAGAATGCCATGTATGAGGTCCCTGCCCTTATACTGTCAGACAGCTGACAGTCCATTGGGGAACAGGCATGTAAGTGACTACACTACAGAGTTAAATGTAATGATGGGATGGCACAGGGGACTGCAGGGGCAGGGCACCAAGAGGGCAGGCACTCAACTCAGTTTAGGGGATTCAGGGATAGCTAAAGGATGAGTGGGAGGAGTCTACTAGGTGAAAAGGGTCAGGGAAGAGTGCTCCTGGCCTGGGAAGAGAATCCTGGCTTATTTTTAACCCCTTTAGACTTTAATAAAAAATAACAAATCAAACCAGTTGCCATAAGTCGATTCCAGCTCATGGTGGTCCCATGTGTGTCAGAGTAGAACTGTGCTCCATAGGGTTTTCAATGACTGATTGTTCAGGTAGATTGCCAGACCTTTCTTTCAAGGCACCTCTGAGTAGACTTGAACCACCAACCTTTTAGTTAGCAGCCGAGTGCTTAACATTTGCACCACCAGGGACTCCCAGAACTCAGTAATAGAGATTAATAATAGTACCTACTTTGCAGGAGAATTGTGAGAATTTATTGATATAGCAAAGTGCCTGGGACATACTGATAAAAGATGGAAGTTTTTATTTTGCTGACCCAGGAGTGAATGATTAAGGAGATGGCATCTGAACTGGCTTCAGACCAGCCTGGGTAAGACTTACCTACTCACATTAGATCAGGAAGATTAACTTCTCATCATACCTTTTGTCTTTCAGCCAAACCTCACCGCAAGACACCTCCTACAGATGAACAAAGGCCGTCCGTTATCCCACACAAAAAACCTGTCTCTGGGGTCCTCATCCCCGAGAGGCAAAGCAACCGACTCACCCACCCTCCGTAGGGGCCCTGGGTCCAGGAGGAAGGGGCCTGGGCAGTTCTCCATCACAACAGCCTTGAACACTCTCAACAGGATGGTCCATTCTCCCTCAGGACGCCATATGGTGGAGATCAGCCCCCCAGTGCTTATCAGCTCCAGCAACCCCTCTGTGATCACTCAGCACATGGAGAAAGCAGACGTTCCTCCCAGCTCCACTGGGCAGGTAGGGAACAAACCACTGGGATAACGGCACCTTGGAATTTGGGCAGGTGATTTGCACCATGTCAAAAGCAATATTTGATGTTTCACAACTGCTAAGCACCCATAATGTATAAATAATAACTATTGCCGTATATGATATGTGTAAGAGCACCACAAATTGAGAGTCATTGTCCATCCCTCTGGACTGGGCAGTGTTTCTTTCTGTTGTACATAGGGTTGCTATGAGTTGGAACCGATTCAACAGCACCTAACAACAACAACAACAGTTCATTCCTCTGACAGTTTGTTTATTAGGCATCAGTTGGAAAGGAAGGAAAAAGAAACTATGGGTCACTGAAAGGTTTCAAGATGGGTTACATAATTTGTGGGGCCCAATACAAAATGAAAATAAAGGGCCCCTTGCTCAAAAATTGTTAAGAATTTCAGGATGGCAACAACAGAGCATTAATCCAAGTGTAGGACCCTTTTAAGCACAAGGCCCTGGGCAGCTACACAAGTCATACATCCAGGAAGCCAGCCCTAGGTGTTTTCATATGGAGAATCTAATAAGATAATGTACATAAAATGCTTAGCACAGTGCCTGGCATATAATGTTGTTGTTGTTGGCTGTTAGTAAGCCGACCTCTGACTCATTGTGACCCCATGTACAATGGAACAAAACACTGCCTGGTCCTGCGCCATCCCCATGATTGGACTATTGTATTCATAGGGTTTTCCTTTGCTGATTTTCAGAAGTAGATCACCAGGCCTTTTTTCCTAGTCCATCTTAGTCCAGAAGCTCCGCTGAAACCTGTTCAGCATCGTAGCAGCACACAAGCCTCCACTGAGATGGGTGGTGACTGTGCATGAGGTGCATTGGCTGAGAATTGAACCTGGGTCTCCCAAATACAAAAAAAAAGAAAAAGAAAAAAACCCATTGCCAGCAAGTCAGTTCTGACTTATAGAGACCCTATAGGACAGAGTAGAACTGCCCCATAGGGTTTCCAAGGAGTGGCTGGTAGAGTCAAACTGCCAACATTTTGGTTAGCAGCCGAGCTCTTAACCACTGTGCCACCAGGGCTCCGGGTCTCGTATATGGAAGATGACAATTCTACCACTGAACCACCAATGACCCAAACCAGTTGCTGTCAAGTCGATTCCAACTCATGGCATATACTAAGCACTCAAAAAATGTTAGCTCTTATTTCTATTGTTATTATTAACCCTGATCACTGAGTTACCAACTAAAGGGAGATAAACCAAGAGGCGGGTATGGCAATCCAGAAGCTGAAGTGCTTCTAACAGCATGTGGCTATTTAGGATGAAGGACACTTTAAAAGATGAAGAAGTAGAGATATGAGGCAAAGTAATTAAAGACTGCCTGTTGGGTATTCAGCTGAAAACACTCTTTGGAATCATGCAGGTGGCAACTTGAAAGGACAAACCTCAACTTATACTGATGTATTTTTTTTCAAGAAGCTGTAGATCTTGTTTTAAACATGAATCTCTAGCTTGGGATTAAACAGCTTAATTGGACTCTAATCCCTTTTTAACAAGACAAGAAGGAGGAGAGAGTCAAGGGCTCCTCAAAGACCTGTGCGGTGGTCTGAAAGGAAAACAATCACATCCCACAACACTTTATATCTTATAACACTGTCTGGATCGCTACAAGGTTGTAATTCCATAATTCACGTAATTCTGCCCACCATCTTATCTGCACTACACTCAAACACACACATGCATGCACAAATTCCACCAAATATACTCTCCTTGCATAAAACACAGTAAAACTTCTTCCCTACACACACACATTCCAAAAGCTTTGTTATAATTACATACACACTGTGCCCAGTGTCCCCCCCCCACACACACAGACATGCACACACACTCACACGTGTGTACACATACATAAACACTCTAAAATGGGGATCTGGTGACTCAAAATTAAACCAAAGAATAACAGAATTTTTCTGAAATCATACTTTATATATAAACCAAAAAAAAAAAACCAAACAAACTCTTTGCCATCGAGTTGATTCTGGCTCACAGCAGCCCCATGTGTTACAGAGTAGAACTACTCCATAAGGTTTTCTTGGTTGTAATCTTCATGGGAGCAAATCACCAGGCCTTTCTTCCACAGCACTGCTGGGTAGATTTGAACTGCCAAACTTTAGGCTAGTAGTTGAGCACAAACCATTTGCACCACCCAGGGACCTTACTTTATATACGTTGTTGTTGTCATTAGTTGCTGTCAAGCCAATTCCCACTCATGGAGACGCCATGTGTGCAGAGTGGAACTGCTCCATAGGTGTTTTCAAGGCTGTGACCTTTTGGAAGCAGATCACCAGGCCTGTCTTCCAAGATGCCTCTGAATCAGTTCAAACTGCCAACCTTTCAGCTAGTAGTCGAACGCTTAACCATTTGCACCACCAGGGACTTTTACAAGCTATACCTAAAGTTGAGTGGAAAGTTGAGCAAATGATAAGTTCTCCTGCTTCCTTTTTCTCTAACATCCTTGAGACCTGTGATTGGGTCTAGCTTATCACACTCCCCATATTTGCCCCTACCCCAGCAACCAGCAGAGTACCTAGTCCCTAGTATTATATATGATAGATATTGGATGAATTAAATTGTTCAACATATAGGCAAAACAGTCTAGACTCTAGGATGTCTCTTCTCTAGGGAAGCTGACACTGGAAATGACAAAGTTCATTCAGTATTTTAACCCTTTCAGGACCCTATTATTTTCTGCTTTAAAAAAAAATTTTTTTGATACTATGTGTTTTCAGTAATGGAAGGCATGCTGAATCAAGGAGTCTTTCTGAACTCATGTTATGAAATATGGATTTTGATACATATTTTGTCCCAAAAAATTTAATGGTTTCATACATAATATTTTGTGGGGAACATATGTTCCAAAAAACATTAAAGTTTTCATACATAAAAGGCACCTTCCATTTGGTTCTATTGGGCACCTCTGCTTTCCAAATATGACCCCCCCAAAAAAAAATCCAAACCCACCATGGCTCCCTGACATCATACAGGAAGCCATGAATAAGCTTACAAGGATTATCTACCTGTACGAGATCCAAAAGAGACAAAAGTTTAACCCAATCACACTTCCTGGATGCACTGCCTCATACATAAGCCTTCTACCTTAGTGAATTTTCACCAAAGGACATTTCTTTCTTACTGTTACACAAACTCCCCACTGGAGGGTATCAAATACCTTTAGTGGGAAAAGTAGCCTCCAAAAAACCTGAGAGACCAAAAATGTGGGCAGGTTCTGTCCCAAGGAGCATTAAAGAGTTAACAAACACTTGACACCTTACTGTGTTTGAGATGTTGGGAAACTGGTGAAAAATAAACCCGTTGCCATTGATTCCAACTCATAGTGACCTTATAAGACAGAGTAGAACAGCCCCATGGGTTTCCAAGGAGTGGCTGGTGGATTGGAACTGCCAACCTTTTGGTTCACAACCAAGCTCTTAACCACTGCGCTGTGAAGAATAAGATAGATAAAATTCAGCATTCTTCCACTTTGCAGTCTAGAGGAGAGAAAATGGTCAGTAATCAAATGTATTTTTAAAAAAAGATCATAAGTAGTTAATAATAAGAGTTAGGTTGAAAAGAGCCTTGGAAACTACCCTATATCAGGCAGTCAGGGAAGACCTCACTGAATAGGTGATATGTAAGTTGAGGCCTGAAAGATAAAAAGTAACTGTCGTAGGAAGACCTTGGAAAAGGACATTCTAGGCAGAGGGAACGGCTTGTGCAAAGGCCCTATGGCAAAAACGCACTCACTCAAAGAATGTTAGGCCATTGCGACCAGAACACAGGGAGAGAGAAACAGTAGAAAGAGCTGAGGTCAGTCAGATAGGCAGCACCTTTTAGACCAGGGAAAGAAGTTTGAATTTTGTTATGAATGCAATGAGAAACTAACAGATGGTTTTTAGAAGAAAAATGAGATGATGTGGTTTATTTTTAAAAGTCTGGTGTGGCCACTATGTGGAAAGGAATTTTAAAAGAGGTTAGAAAGAAAGCAAGAAGACCAGTTAGGAAGCTGTTGCAGGAATCAAAGACAACAATATTGATGACTTGAGTAAACAGACACATCAATAATAGATTCAGTATATGCTTCAGATATACAGTCAACATACATTGCTAGCAGATTGGGTGGTGGGGAGTGATGTAGGAAAGAAAGGCATCAAAACTTTTGACTTGAACACTGGGTAGATGGTGGTACCATATACTTAAACAGGGAAGACTGGGGAGGAATTGTTTCCAATAGACAGACCATAGGCCAGTGTAACTCTTTCAACTGATAAACATCCATTGAGTGCTTACAAAGTATTAGTAACTATAGTGATTACTAAGATTCTACTACTAAATCATCAAGAACATTAATAATAATCTCAACCATTTATTGAAACTAATATGAGTTGGGAGCCCTGGTGGCACAGTAGTTAAGTGATACGGCTGCTAACCAAAAGGTCGGCAGTTCAAATCCACCAGCTGCTCCTTGGAAACTCTATGGGGCAGTTCTCTTCTATCCTATAGGGTCACTATGGGTTGGAATCAACTCGACAGCAACAGGTCTGGTTTTTTGCTTTGGGATATAAGTTGGGTGGGTGGGTAGGTAGATAGATATCTAGATAGCTAGCTAGGTAGGTAAGTAGATAGGTAGGTAGGTAGGTAGACGGACAGACAGGGTGATAGCCTCTGATAGCAAAGTTTTCATTTGCTGCCGATCTCCCGAGTCCTGCCCTCCATCCATAAAATGTAATGAGAGCCTTTACAGGGAAGGTATTATCACCATTTTACAGTGAGGTAACTAAAGCTTCAAAAGAAAAAATGATTTGTCCAAGTTTGTGTAATTAATAAACACTGAGAGTCTAGAACTGACCCTAAAACTGTCTGATTCTAGAGCACAAGCTCTTGGCACTATACTATGCTGTCAACAAAGATCACATCAGGCAGCACTGTTATATCAACATAGTTTGTCTGGATGTCTGCAGCCTC